TTACTTTCCTATTTGAAAGAGTCTTCTGGTTGTACATTTTAGTCCGCCTTATCTTTTCATCCCTTCTCTTCCTACTTTCATTATTTTATGTGGCGCATATGTACCTGGTGCCCTTTTGTACCAATATATATGTGTTTAAATAAATAAATAAATAAAGAATTAACTGTTATAACTTATGGCCGAATGGATACCCTGATAATGTTCAACATGACGATACCGACAATTAGAGAGTAGCAATTTATTGATCGAACCAGTGACAAATGAATTCTGTACGAGCAGTTTAGAGCATTTGTCGGTCCTACTATTTACCTAGCCTAGTAAGTTAACTTCAGAACACCAATAAAAATCTCTGAAATATGAATCATTATTCTAAAACATACTGAGTTTATATACCGAACAAACAGACTACATCGTACTATATAAATAAGAAACAACAATTGTACAAAAATTCAGTCAAATGTTGCTGTGAATAGAAAGAAAAATAATTAATTTACTGGGGATAACTCAAAAATAATAAACCGTATAGTAATAGTTCACAAATCAAAATAAAGCTGGTAATAAGAAAGACACAAATATGAACAGTTAAGTTACTTAACAACTATACAATGAGAAATATATACGTATCGTATTGGTCTATAAATGGTCTTTAAAAGGTACCATTTATAATACTCTTCGGGATATAACACTTCCTCTTTTTTGAAAGATCCAGAGCTGCTATCCGGATTTGATATTATCCAAGCTTGTAATCTCTCATGAAATAGTGTTGGATCCTCATATACCCAAGTTACCATAAATGTAGCATTATGTGAAGCATATTTTAGTTTATTAAGGGTTTTGTGGAGATTTCATTATTTTCATATTCGAAGTCGTTAGTCAATTGAAGCTAGACCAACAAGCAGTGAACGGCCGTTTCATCCTGTTGTAGGACTCCTCGGCAGTGAGCATCCACGATCCCGGTTCGTGAGATTCGAACCCAGGACCTAATGGTCTCGCTCCAGAGCAGTTAGGCGATAGACCACTAAGCCGGCTGGCATCCAACGATGTTAATGTCTAACTTCAACCAATCTACGAAGTTTGAGCAACCGTCCATCAATTGTCTTCAGTGAGTAGATATCTCAACAAAAGACCTGGATGAATTCAATCGGTCACTGCTTCCCGCTAGAATCTCAGGAAATATCTTTTGAAATCAGTCACTAGTGAGCATACGATCGTGGATGCACACTACTGTGGAGTCCCATAATAGGACGAAACGGCCGTCCAGTGCTTTCAGGTTTTCCACAGTGGTCTAGCTCCAATTGACTCATGATTTCAACTATAAAACATATTTGTCGCATTTAACAGAGAATCCACTTGAACTGACTAGATCATGAGGATCGATGACATTTGATTTGAAATCACCAGTGTCTGATTCTTCTGTAACAATATCCTTGAATTTATTGGGAACCTCATTAGTAGATAATGAATCATTGAAATGACCAGTATCTATGGAAACTGTATTGGATTCTTGATCATTATTATCAAATGAATCCGACATTCGTCTATCATTTTTATAAGAATTTTCATCAAGAATATTTGAATCAATAAAATAACCCATATCTGGTAGAACTAGAGGATCCGCATAATCAAATTCATTAGAACCTTTTGATGCAGTATGATTAGTTTCATTTAGCGTAAGTGTATTCACTATAGTGTTCGATTTGTTTTCTGTTTTTACAAGAGTGGGTACTCTAGCAATTTCAAGAGCATTCAGCAAGACATCATCTTTATGTGAACTGGATAATTCAATGATGTACGTTCTATTTCGTGGCATGTCTTTGTAGTGAACAATACTGGACTACTGGGATGATCATGTATGACTGCTACTGCTTCATTTGCATTAATGTTTATCACGGATTGATGGAGGCTTTCATCGGCATATTCATTCATTCTGTAATCAGTTTCCAGCTCTGTACTCATTTTAGAAACTAATTCGTTAACTTCTGTCACATCCCCAAAGCATGGGTGATTCAGCAGTCTTGTGTGTAATTTGTCAATAAATCCCAGCTGATTCTTTTTAGAATCCTGATCTTGTCGCTAAAATAGCTATTGCAAGTGATTGAGAGTGAAAGCCATTTCTTGCTTGTTTAAATCAGAACGGTAATGAAAGATACAGTATGATTAATGACCAATGTCATCCAAGAACACAAACGATATTCTGAATGCTGATTGAACGAGATAATTCCCTGATTTTTGATCAATCATAGGCTGACTTTGGTTCGTTGTCTATACTTACTTACTTACTTACGCCTGTTACTCCCAATGGAGCATAGGCCGCCGTCTATACCCCGTTGCCAATTGCTATATCTATGGTTGCCAATTGTTATTGTAAGGAAGCCTCGTTGGTAAACTCTAGGAAGCTTCAAGAAGCCCAGAAAGAGCTGCAGACATTCCATCAAATCACTGTCAGTGGAATATTCTAGAATGTCGACGTATAGCTTCCCTATTGGATGGATAAGAATGACCTTTATGTGCCCTTATGGTTGTCTGAAATGATGATTTACTCTCAGTCAAAAACTATAAATACATGAGATTTCTGTACTACATTTTGACACTGTTTTGGGGAACAAAAGTTCGTACTTACTAGTCTTCTGATTCTCTCTTGTGACGTTGCGGGTTCGGTCGTTCAAGTAGTCTTGTAGTACACGGCAAAGTAAGAACCAAAGCTCTAGATATAACAGTTATCTCTTGAGAATGCTAATTGTTATAAGGTGTGGCCTGCAATGGTTATAACTTGTGTGCCTGAGTGCTCTGTTATTAATCACTTATTTCACTTTTATAGTTTTGTTCTTTTTATGTGGTTGTTAATATACTACTTAAACCATGATTTCATAGATATTTAAGCTATGCATTAGTTATCTTGAATGAGAATAAATCATTTGAATAAATCAAAAGTTTGATCAAATGATGAGTTGATTGTTTGGAATTTCTTTGTTAGCTCTGTGACCAACGGTAGATGATTGGGTGATGTGTCACGTATGCCTGAACATCGATTACCATGACGCGTTATGCTGACTAATATCGGGGATGGTTGGAAGGATGTTAAGGGGCGGCCAAAACAAAACGTGGCATCAGAGCTTGAAGTCACCAACTTCTAGTTTAAGCCATATTGGTAGATGCAGACTATTTGGTTGAGATCCGCGCGACTATCATAACTAATGGTTAGAGACTCCAGGTGACATAGCTCAGAATCGATCACAATGGCGTAGGTGTATAGACTTTGTTTTCCCTTAAACTATCATATTAAAATTGCTTCATATCTTTCTTTCTTCCTGTACTATATCCTTATATACTACCATTCTTTCATATATTATCACCACTAAATTAAGTAATATGAATCCGGTGTTCATCTTGTTTTGCTAACGAGGTATGTCAATTTGGACCGTTGCATATATGCGCCTGGTCCTACGTTGTAGCTGACTGACTGAGTTCTCTTCTTGTACTTGTTTAAATGATCCACAAAACATCTCTCAAAAGACAAAAAAAGTTCAGGAAACATTAAGAAGCATTTTATCCAATCAGCGTTCACTAGACGTTTTGTCAGAAACATCACGACAATGAAAATTCGAATGTAGAGTTTCTGATTGGCTGATTACAACACTGCTACTATGTTTAGTAGCATTTCAGTATTTTCAGGAAAACTCAAGGATTTCTAAAATACTATAAAAATCCTATATTTTCTGTACATAAATGAACCTTCGAGGTAAAATGCTTCTTGTATATTTTGCGCCTTTTCTCTGGTGTTCAAGTCGCTGTTTAGTTCTAGCTTGAGGGTTACGAGACTAGCTTAGAAACTGAGTATAGCGTTCAATCAGCAAGACTTATCAGTACTCATCAGTAACAAGTTTCAATTTCATTTAAGCTACATGGATACCTAATTTACGTTCATTTTATCTTGAACCATTTAATTTAGTTGCAATCACTGTAATTTAACATAAAACGCTTTCATTCATTTGATTCATGAACGTGTCATCATAGACACTGTTAAGAACGGCAAATTTATTTATAAATAAAGATTGATGGTAGCTAGTTGTGGAATTCAGGACGCGCGTTTCGTCTTACTACGGATTCATCAACTGGATATGACTGCATCCCGTGGTTCACTCCAGAACTGAAAAACAGTAACGTTTACTTCAAACCCCATCACGTTATTCACTTAGCTACTGAGCTCAGTCTCTTACAGTCACAGCCGCCTTGGGCCTGATTTTCTACACATTTTATTTTCTATTTTATGATATGATGCAGTATGACTTGCTTGTATATAAACTGTGTATATCTGAAATATATGATTCACACAGTGAAAGCTGATATTGATGTTCTGGACTCAAACTGACAGGACTAGAAAAGAACAACCATTAAGAATTCAGAATCGACTCACGACTGCCTGTAATAGTTTATTCATCATTAGTTTCGCACAGTCATATAATTCACGATAACTCCGCCTGTAGCCCCTCCGGTGGCTATTGTCAGTCCGAAGCCCGAATAAAAGAAGAGGGTTCGGCATGGGGTTAGCAACCCCATACTGTAGAAAGCTAACTCGTTAAAAAAACACTAACCGGGAAAAATTATTCAAACTATTTAAACTCTGTCCTGGGAGTTGAAAGAGAGATTATGACGCCTCATGATGAAAGACAAGTTCCCGCAGAAGTTACGAAGCCGATGCTCCTTCTAACAACCAGAGCATCAACTTCTATAGATACATAAAACGTCCGGATAATGTAGGAGACCATAAAAGTATTCCTAATTACTGCAGAAATGAGATTGTACAACCTCAGATTACTTGGAATCAGAGAATCTAATTAACGATCTAACTAAGTGATATTTGAAGGGTCATAGGACAGAACAGAATCTATACGTAAACAATAAATTGAAATTTATTTAACAAAGATTAATTACGGTTTAATAAAGTTAAGTTTATGATTTCATTAACTTAAACTGTTTTCATTCTAATACAGTTTAGCTCATCAACCTAATAGTTCTTTGATATTTAGCCTGAAATACAAATTTGAAAGACAAAAATATAACAATCTACTGGATAAAAATAGATAATAAAGATGGATAGAAGCTAGCGATTTTCTTCTAGTTTAGGACTTGTCAACTAGATATACCTGAACCTCATAGTTCATGATCACTTCAGGACTCGAACCTAATACCGTTCACTTTAAACGTCATCATTTTGTCTACTTAGCTATGCAGTTGTGATAACCAATAGCTTTTGTAATCGGATGATGTTTAAATTCACTTAGTTTTGTTTGTTTGAATCTTCTCATTGATTGTAGGACTGAAATTGATCAATCTCTTGTAGGCATATGTGCATACTGTGAGTGTTGCCTCAATAAAGCTTTAATTCACAAGCATGGTAAGCAAAGATGGATAGTATCTAGCATTGAAATCCAAGACGAACACTTCGTCAAGTTTGAAACTCGTCAACTAGATATACGTGAATCTCAGAATTCATGATCACTTCGGGATTCAAACCCAGTAACGTTCACTTCAAATGCCATTGCATCATCCACTTAGCTACTCACTCCTTATAACCACTGGCTTTTGCAATGGTGTGAAGTTTAAATTCACTTAGTATTGTTTGTTTAAATTTTCCCGTTGACGTTTAGAATTGACGTTTAGAATTCAGAGTGCGCGTTTCTTTCAGTTTGACATTAGTAGGCTAATCACTTCGAGACTTCAACCCATTACTATTCACTTTAAACACCATCGAATAATGCACTTAGTTACTGATTCCTGATAACCACCGACTTATTCAATGCGGTAAAGTTTACATCCTTGTTATATTGCTTGCTTATATCTTTCGATTGTTGTTTAGGATTGTAATTGATCAAGTAAACAATACCAAATGACAATTTTTACCGTTGAAATATATATGACACTAATTTTAAAATATATCTTATTGAGAATAATAGAATTTTCAACTGGAACGACTATCTTACGCGGTTGTGTTTAAAAAACTACAATGTATGAGAAAGCATTGAAAAAAAAATGGTCATTAGAGGTGGGTTGTTTACATATCTCGATGAAAACCGCTTTTGATTTTAGAAATGTAGCATGGTTTTAGAATAGGTTATTCCTGTCTCACTAACTTATTGTTGACACATGAGAGCTGGTACACTCTCAAACATCAAAAGTTACCTATAGACATAGTCAACATTGACTTCAGCAAAGTTTTTGACAGTGTTCCCCACAATCAACTGTTATACAAATAAAGAAATATCGTGGTTGGAGTTAATCTATTTATGTGGATAAAAGATTTTCTAGTTGAGCATCAACAAAGAGTACGAGTAAAAAACTAAAAGTTGACTAGCTGAGAAACTGCGCTTAGCGGAGTGCCTCAGGGTACAGTTTTGGGATCAGTATTATTCCTTTTGAACAAATTCCTACAGAACAAATTACTTGTTAGCTGACTATCAACCCTTCCATATTATCGTCAACGAATGGAATTCATTATCTGAACACATGATTGAAGCTTCATTTGTCGACGTTTACAGAAGAAACTTAGATCAACTGAGAAGTCATCATTGCTGGTACTAACACTGACCATCTAGTCTATTGCCTTTGTAAATTGAAACTTAAACTGAATGTATACGTTGATTTGAAGATCTTCCACAATGGTAATTAAGATCTTTTCTTAACAAAATGAAGGAAAGTTATACAGTATAAGGATAAACAACATTTCATTTGTTTTGTTTAAACTTACCTAAGAAAGCTCATTGTATTCCTTGAAACATCAATATGATTAACTGGTCATAACAACTAACAATATAAGAGGTCGAACTAAGTACTATGAAATTGATTATTCATAAGTTATCTAGTTACTGTTTAATTCATTGTTTATTAATTTCGCTCCGTTGAGTAGATGAATTATTTTAAATTATATATAGGGTAGTAGTCTCCAGTAGATGATCTGAAAACCTTCAAATATCTGCACAACATCACTGATGAACACGGTGGATTTGATGTAGATATGAAGGCAAGGATCGGCAAAGCAAGAGCAGTATATTTTTAACTGAAAAACATCTGCAACTGTCAACCAACATGAAATTCATAATTATCAATACAAAGGTCAAGACAGTTCTATTGTACGGAATGGAAACTTGGAGAACTATGAAAGTCATCTTCCAGAAGATAAAAGTGTTTAATAACAGATGTCTACGTAAAATGGTTCAGATTCATTGATCAGACACTATCAGCAACAACCTACTATCGGAGAAAACAAACATGATTTCAGAGAAGGAAGTAATCAGGTAGAAGTACTGGAAGTGGATAGGACACACATTGAGCAAATCACCCAACTGCGTCACAAGAAAGCCCTCACATGAAATCTTAAAGGTCAAGGGAGAAGAGGAAGATCCAAAGGACACATTACGTCGAGAAATGGAGACAGATATGAGAAGAATAAATATCGATTGGATGGAACTAGAAAGGAATGTTTAGGACAGAATGAGTTGGAGAATACTAGTCGTTGGCCTATACTCCATTGGAGGTAAAACGAGTATATATTTAAGTAATCACAAGAATATAATTAGTTCAATGGTGAATGCAGAAGTATTCTCACAGTTGAAATCATTAGTCAATTGAAGCTAGACCACCATCGAAAACCTGGAAGCACTGGACGGCAGAAGTATCAAAGATGTTCAAAAAAAACAGTATATGATTAAATGGAAATGAATATATACCATTTTACTCACTTCAAACTAGCCATAAATATTCTACACAGTAATAAAGATCACAAACTTTCACATATTACTTAGAATACAATAGAATGAATTATTTATAAGAGCAATTAACAGTTTGATAAAGAAAGATGGATAGTAACTAGTAGTGGTATTCAAGATGCGCGATTCGTTCTATTAGGGACTCATCAGCTGAATATACCTGCATCTCAGAGTTGATGTTCACTTTGTGACTCGAACCCAGTACCATTTACTTTAAACACCAACACGTCATTCACTTAAATACTGAGTATGTACATATGCCAATAAGATACTAATCAATTGCAGTGCTCTTCCATTGGATGAAATTATTTCAAATATAATTTATATATATGATATCTATTCCATACTTGGAACCTAATTTCTATCAAACTTCTAGTGGCCCAGGATCTGTCACCAGTTATATCGAAATATACATGTTGTTAATCCTTGTATATAAACATCTACTTCAATCACATTGGTGAATTACGTAATTAGATGATCATTCAATTTCACTCATTGACCGGAACAAACTATTAGAAGGATGAACTGAAGGATGAGAAGATAAGAGCGAATAGCAAAATGACGTGCAGTGGAGAAGGTTTATGAGCTGACTCCATTTAATCAATCCCTAATCAATATTTATAGTCAGAACAATAATAAGTTACAGATATGTGATGAGTAGGATAAGATGTACACACACACACACGATCATTTGAAGACAGTCTGGGTCGATAAATAAATAATTAACAAGTTAATACTTGACTCAAGAGGATTTGATAAGTTGGCCTGTTCAGAAGCTAGAATAAACGGTATAGGCCTAACATAGTAGCCAAAACTACAAACTACTACCATTGATATTTAGGACTGCAATTGATCAGTCTCTTATTGGATCACGCGAAGGGTGTTTGAAGTAAACGGTGCAGAGTTCGAGTCCCAGAGTGGACATCAACTCTGTGATACAAGTACATTCAGCTGACGAGTTACAAATTGGACGAAACGCCCGTCAAACTGGATTTCATTGATAGCCACAACTTTGTATTTTTCAAAGGATTTCAGATCGATTTCTGGCATCTGGTATTGAATTGGTTTCCCTCTTTTGTTTTTCAAGAAGTGACCAAAAGAAATGGTTATATATTTATAGAAAATATAAACTGTAATGACATTGAAACTTACTGCCATGATGATGAACTTCTACAAAGTACCAATGAATATACACATTTGAAACATTTGAGCCCATGAAATCAAGTAAGTAACAGACTTTTTTTGAAAACATGGATGAACCTTTATCCAAGATTTGATGTTTACTCTTGTGTTTGAACCCAGTAACGATTACTTAAAACTTCATCACCTTATCCACTGAGCTACGAAGTCTTGATAATCACTAGCTTGTATAATAAGATGATGTTTAAATAAAATCATGGAATAAACATCATCTCTAGGATACAGTTACATCTAGATGATGCGTTCTAACTAGTACAAAACGAGCATTCTGGATTCCACTGCTAACCATCATCCATTTTTGCTTATTATGAATAAGCAGTTTAAAAGTATTCGGCTGTAAATGTTCATGGAACTGTATGCACATTGGCTTTCCATATGTAAACGATGCATATATGTTTAATTTAAATCAAAATGTACACAACAAATTCATCTTTCACCAAAAGGTTATAAGTTCTTGATTCATTGAATAAATCCGTTGGCATGTCAACTAGATCAAGGTTGGATGCAGAATGTTGGTGGGCGGTCAATGCTCCTTCACGAGGGGGAACAGGCGCAAATAAGTAAGTAAGTAATGTCAACTAGATAAATTGAAACCTACATTTCATGTTATTCACTACTATAGTTCAGTAGTAATATATATCAGTAATTCAATTAGGAATTCGTAGATAAAAAAAAAACAAGAACAAGAGAACGTCACACTTACGAATTCGCTATCCCTATTTAAACACAGAAAAATGCACATTATTCAATTGGAAATATATGAAAACTTGAAATGAGAAAATTTCAGAAGGCGGTTTCTGTGTAGATTTAGTATTTTCATAGTTGAAAGCGTGAGTCAATTAAAGGTAGACCACTAAGAAAAATCTGGAAGCACTGGTCGGCCGTTTCAACCTATTGTGGGACTCCTCAGCAGTGCACATCCACGATCCTGCCTCTCTATGTGGTTTGACGTCGTAGGTGCGCACTGCCGAGGATACCCACTATAGGAAGAAATGACCGTCCAGTGCTTCCAGGTTTTCCCTGGCGGTCTATCTTCAATTGATTTACGCTTTCAACTGAGAAAATTGCAAAACGAATTAGGCGCGACTTTGATATATGGATGAACTAATCAGATATAAATGGTTTGATTTGTTTTTTTTTTCTGGTTAGAATTTTTTCTTAGTTAGTTATTTTTTCGCGGGATGAGATCGCTTACCCCATACCCAACCCTCCTCCTTGACTCGATCTTAAGACCTGCAGTAACTCTAGAAGAGGTACAGGCGAATAACATGTCTTGGAGTTGTGACTCAAAATTCATTCATCTATTTGAATAAACAACATTTCAAGATTTTAGTTGATATCAGTTCATGATGAAGAGGTTAAATCTAATTCTACCCAAAGTTTGTGCTGAATAATATCGTTCAGAAGAATGATGAAAGCTTTACGTTCAAACTATTCAGTTAAGATAATAAAACTCAATTTAATTCGTAACCTTAACCATCAACTGTAAATCATAATTCTAATTCTTTACAGGGGTTTATAATCCTTATTTAGTCTGTGGTGCTCGGTATTCGATATTCTCTTCAAACGTTGTAAGCGAGTAAGCGAGTAAGCGAATAAGCGAGTACGCGAGTAAGTGAGTAAGTGAGTAAGTGAGTAAGTAAGTAAGCGAGTAAGCGAGCGAGTGAGTCAATAAATAGGATTAAGATGTACATATATATATATACAAATGGAAATGAATATACCATCGAATCAATTAAGCTATTTATAGTATGGCTAGCAGAATGAATGTGTACGTAAGCAGTAAGCAATGCTCAAGCATATAGAATAAAGAAACAATAATATAGATAGGTTGTTATTTTACAAATGACTCTCTCCGTTAAATAAATAAACAAAACAGGCTTAACCAAATTAGATGTGAACTAACTCAATTGTATGTGACCTGTTATATCAATGTTAGTAAACGGACCTTCTCAAGATCACTTAAAGCACTACACAAAGTTTTATCCATCACTTATAGAATCACCACGATTTATTTCTTCATTATTCAGAAACCAAGATAAAATTCAACATCAGAAGGAGGTTTTGTGAAGATTTTAGTAATTATATATAGTTGAGATCATAAGTCAATTGAAGCCAGTTCACCATGGAAAAATTGAAAGCACTGAACGGACGTTTCGTCCTATTGCAGGACTCCTCAGTGGCAGTGAGCACCCACGATCCCGTCTCACGAGATTCGAACCCAGGATTTCCAATAATTCATACAGATAAATTACATAAATAACTACATTAGTAACATACCATTACATAATATAAATCCAGATTCACATGTTAATAATAATAGAAATGAGATTAGAATTAATACAAGCATCGTTGAATTATGTAATTGTATAGAATACTGTCTGAATTCTCTTTAAATAGAGATGTGCCATTAGTAATAATAATACATTAGATCCACGTATATTACATAAGGCTATTGTCTTTTACCGACCTAATCAAAAAAAACTTTGAGGAGGTTACCATGGCAACAACAACAACAACAAAGTAACAACGAAAAAAACTCATATTGATTCTATAAATAGTTACACTCTTAATCAATATATTCGTAATTACATAATCATATAATGTAATGTAACATTGAATGAATTGATTTTGAAACATATGAAATAAGTCATATATGATGATTAATGAATTCAATTTTTTTAGTGTAAGTTTAAATGTGTAGGCTGAGGTACTACCCGGTTGAGTAAACAGAACTAGATGGTTTTCGTAGGAAGGCGATCCACGAGTCTTCGATCTAAAAGTCTGATCCAGAAGATAATGGTTATGGAATCTCATGGTATCCGGTGTCTAACAATAAGTTCATACGATATTCGTTCCTTCGGGATCTTGTAGCCTATGTGCATTATTGGTTTAGAATTAGGGTTTACCAATTCCCCTAGTTGGGTCCTTTATATCCACTAACCGGGTTACAGCTCCATAAATTCTGTTTTAATTCACTGAATTTTGTAAACAACTCTCTTATCTCGAGAAGGAAGTGACTAGTACTTCTTTTGTAATGGCTGTATACTCGTGAATATGTGAGCGCAGTTCGAGAATTAGAGAAAACTGACTCTCCCTACTGTACTACGCTGTACTAGGGTATTCGGAGGCTTCCTCTATCATATTATTTATACTAAGAAGTAGAAATTACCTCAATTATTATGCCACAAAGACCTGTGGAATCATGATTCAATTTATTAGTGTAGGTTTATATGTGCAGGCTGAGATATTGTCCGGTTGAGCAAACTGAACCAGGTGGTTTTCTTAGGAAGTCAATCCGTGTGCCTTCAATCTCAAAGTCTGATCCATATGGCAGTGGATAAATGTAAGGTGATACAATCTCATGGTACCTCATAGTACGATATTCGTTCCCTTAGGATCCTGGAGGCTATGTGCACTAATGGTTTAGAATTAGGGTTTTCCAACTATTCTAGTTAGGTCTCCCATACCCACTGATTTTCCTACTGCAAGAAGGAAATGAGTAGAGGCTGTATACCCGTGGCCATGTGAGAGTATTTCAACAAAGAGAGTGATCTGACCCCCCTCCCATCTCTCCGCCGAATTAGAGTATTTGGAAGCTTCCTCTTTTATAGTATTTATACTAAGAAGTAGGAATTACCTCGATTCTTATGCCAGAAAGACCTGTATAATCATGATTCAATTTATTGGTGTTGGTATTATATGTATCCATATGCCAACTGATGCACACTTTTCACAATAACACATATAAAGGCTAATGAGTTAACTATGAATATAGTCATTTTTTCACCCCTTCACATCAGTTAAACAATCACACCACCATGAACAAATTCTTTTAGCTTGACTGACTGCAATATTAGGACATAGGGTTCTTTCGAACAACTGATGGTGAAAAAGTACCATTTTTCTGTTACCGTTAATCGTTTATAAACGTTTCTGTCTATTACATTGTCAGGACAAGAAGAAGGGTTTATCTTAGATTTTACAAAAACAATCATCAAACTATTAAGTCTCTTTCAATTGATATTAATCATTACGTCACAACGTCGAACGCGGAATTGAAATCCTAGTTGACTGAACTCCATTTTGTAACTGAATTATGTAATCACCAAATTTCAAACGCATAGACCTTGACGATTATAATAACGAATATCCTAGAACCTTGCTGGGAGTTGATATACTGTGGTCAAATGGAGTGAGTAGCTAAGTAGATGACTTGCTGGCGTTTAGAACGATTGGTACTTTGTTCCAGTCTCACGGTGGACATCAACGCTGGGATTCTATTACACCCAGCTAACGAGTCCCAAAAAAGAACGATAAGCACATCCTGGATTCCACTGATAGACAACATACATATCTGCTCATATTTGTGACATTCTTCTCAAATTCGTTTTTTTCCCTTTGGATGAAAGTAATTTCATTAGGCAATTTAGAGGTTTGAGTTTGTAGTCGAAACAACTGAATTGTGGTATTTTACACTGTGAAACTGTAATATATAGGAACAAATGTTCCCTCAAAATTATATGTACAATTTGCTAGAAACTACGTTTTACATCTGATTTAACTGGTAAGTGAGCTTTCATCTTCGTACAGTGTCCAAGGCTATTCTGAAAAAAAACAAAAGCAAACTTTGTCTTCAGTTTTTAAAATGACCTTTACCCTGACTTCTTTACAAGTACAGGAGTATCCAATAATGAACATGACACATTGCAGATACTGTTAATGGGTATATCGATTATTCCAAGTTTTCCTAATATATCTACACTAAGAAGATCAAGATTTGGCCGTTCAATCAGATAGTATGTTTGCTTACAGTTAGTTTCATTGAAAGAAAACTCACATTGTAATACACCAACTAGTTTTAGTACACCTCTAGATGTGTTGTTAACCATTTTCTTTGATAGCCTCATTGGAAGCTAACTCATTGACCGGAACAAAGTATTAGAAGGATGAACCGAAGGATAAGAAGATAAGAAAGAATAGCGAAATGACGTGCAGTTGAGAAGGTTTATGAGCTGACTCCATTTATTCAATCCCTAATCAATATTTATAGTAAGAATAATAATAACTTACAGACATGTGATGAGTAGGATCAGATGTACACACACACACACACGATCATATGAACACAGTCAGGGTTGATAAGTGCCTGTTCAGAAGCTAGAATAAACGGTATAGGCCTAACATAGTAGCCGAAATTACAAACTATTTGTTTGTTTGAATATATTACCATTGATATTTAGGACTGCAATTGATCAGTCTCTTATTGGATAACGCGAAGAGTGTTTGAGAAATAATAATCTTCTTGATTGAATCTTTTCATTCGTGAGCATTGCAGAAGAAAGTGAAACCATTAGGATGATGCTTCTTAGCTATTTAATCATTAGTGACTGACTCCATGAGTCATTTACTGGACTTCTAGTGAGAAGCAGTAACCAGTGCAGTTCAACCAGGTCTGTTGGGAGATATCAACTCCGTAAAGATAATGATGGACGATTGTTTAATTTTGTAGATTGGTTAAGACATCTAGATAGGATTGTGCAGGAGAGAAGAGGATTTGAAATTCTGGTGAAAGATCTATTCTCCTCCACCAGGGGTAATAATTGTAAGTATATACTTCAAACTTGTTACTACTCGATTTACAAACCCTTTAAAACTTATTTTTCCGAGTAGTCATTACTGTTGGAAAAGAAAACTTCTCGCAAAAACAAGAAAGTCTCAGGAAACATTAGGAAGCGTTTTATCAAATCAGAGTTCATTAGATGTTTTGCCAGAAACATCATGACATTGAAGTTTCACATGTACAGTTTCTGATTGACTGATTATTATACTACTGTGGTGTGGTTTACTTATATCCGTATAAGTAGTATATTGTGTTAGGCAGACATTGAATGTATTTTGGCAGAAGATCGATGAAGAAAGAACTGAAACGTAGCGCAATCGGTAGGAAATTGTATGAACAATGAAATTAGAGAAGAAACGATGAAGATTGAGACAATTGGTTGTTAATTTGCAAATTGATTGTTCATTATTTGGTTGTCAGAATTTACTGAGATAGTCGATCGTATTACTTATAGAAGGGCTTTTGTGGAGATTTCAGTATTTATCATAGTTGAAAGCGTGAATCAATTGAAGCTAGACAACCACGGAAAACCTGGAAACACTAGGCGGCCGTTTCGTCCTATTATGGGACCCCTCAGCAGTGGGCAGCCACGAACCCGCTCTCGCGAGTTTCCAACCCAGGATCTACCAGTCTCGAGCCGAAGCCCTTAACCGATAGACCACTGAGATGGCATCCAACGGTGTTTATGTCCAACTTCATAGTCGATTGTCCCCAGTCGTGTTCTGTTCACTAGACTAATACTACGTTTAGTAGTATTCCCCAATTATCAAGAAAACACAATGACTTCTAGAATATTATAAAAACCTTATATTTTTCTGTATATGAATGAACCTTAAGTGTAAAGTGTTTCTCGCATATTTCGCGCCTTTTCTTTCACGTTCAAATTGATTTGTAGATTTAGCTTGAAGGTTATGAGACTAGCTTAGGATCCGACTACAGCGTTCAATTAACAAGACTTATCAAATACCATACAGTTAATTACACAGTTTAAAACTTTATTCTCAAATTTATTTTCCTATTCAGCTGTATTATACTTAAATTCTATGTATGTTTTATAACTAAGCATTGAAGAACAGTATAGAAGCTCCTTACGTAAAAACTACATTGGTATAACGATACACGTCTACTTATTAATGTTGAGTATTTCTTTCATCTGAGAAACTTAGATTATAGGTCCTTCAACCGAGTATCAGATGAATCCAGTTGATGTTCAAACATAATGTTTGCACAACGGTCAAGAACATTGCGTGGCTACTGAAATCGGTGCAGTAAAAACGCCTCAACCTTTTACAAATGATTGATCACTAAGTGATGATCAACGCCATGTGTGGATCAATTACAGCCTTCTGTTTTGCGAGTTATCAAAGGGACCAAGTCGTTTCTGGGCGCGTAAACTTAGTGTAGTGGTGATCATAGTCCATCAAGACTCGATGCCAACTACATGTGACAAGTCATTCTTATTAAAGATCGAATGCAATCGAACACACATGGCATTGATCAACACCAAGTGATCAATCAATAGTGATTACATCTCAATCCCACAGGTGGGCTGTCCGGATAGCTCAATGGTAACGTCTCTCAGTGTGAAGCTGGATGATACAGGACCGAATCCGTCATGGAATACCAGTTCCCTCAAGATTACAGATAAACCTTGCGGACAAGTGCCAAGTACCACGAAACCCGTGTCCAGAGTTTCCTGCTGACCACCCCTAACCATCATCTTACTTTAACTTATTAATCCAGTCCTAAATAATTCACCAATAATCTTACACCTTCATCGTTATTAAGAAGAATTCACTTGCAAACATAGAAACAAATAAACCAACATCAAGCTTTATTGGTAATTAGATACAAAACTCTTGGAATTTAAAAACCTTCTACAGTCTTCATTTATCCATAGATAAAGTTTTGAATTGTGTTCCTATAATATACAAATATGATGAGTTATATAGTAATTAAGGTAGATCGAATAAATAACATTCACTTTAAATTCACTTAGTATTGTTTATTTGAATCTTCCCATCGATTTGTTAGGACTGCAACTGCTCAGTCTCTAATTGGCATATGTGCATACTGTGCGTATTGCCTCGATATAGCTTTGATTCACAAGCATGATAAGCAAAGATGGATAGTAGCTAGCAGTGAAATCCAGTTTGACGCGCATTTTGTCCTATTTGGGACTCGTCAGCTGGATGTACTTGCATCTCAGAGTGGATGTTCATTCTGTTGATGTTCACTTTGTAATTGGTATGAGTGAATAATCTCAGATTTACACAATGAAAATAAAAATTTAGGACTGAAATTCATCAGACCTTCATTAGCATATGCACATCCTATGCAGATTGCCTCTATATAGCTTTACGGCACAGACATTATGGTTATAATTGAGATTCAGAATGAGCTTTCTGTCCTATTTGAGACTCGTCAGATTGATGTACTTCTTAATGTTCACTCTAAGATTCTAACCTAGTATCGTTAACTTCATACTTCATTTCGTTAACTATTTAGCTTCGAGTCTCAGAATGAAAATTAGGCTGCAAGTACATCCAGATGATGAGTTTTAAACAGGTTGAAACGCTCATTCTTAATCCCAATATTAGCCACTAACCATCTTTATTATACAATTCCAGTTTGTATATATCTGAATTATCATCCATTTGTATAAATAATAGAATTTAGAAGAATAAATGACTCAATTATTCATTTCGAAGACATCAAACATGCTCTTTGTTATATCCCAGTGAAGAAGTAATAAACGGGTTACTTCCAAGGACTTATTAATAGACGATTATTCTATATCTATTCCTATTGTATAACTAACTATTCAGTAACTCGATTATGTATTCATTCAGTTTTGTTTGTTTGAATCTTCCCATTGATGTGTTAGGACTGCAACTGGTCAGTCTCTAATTGGCATATGTGCATACTATGTGTATTGCTTCAATATAGCCTTAATTCACAAGCATGGTAAGCAGAGATGGATAGCCACTATCTGTCTCTACTTAGATTATGTATATCTATATGCCCCTTATTATAAGCTTCATTTTGACCTATAGGTTATCATTATACGATTTACTGTCCTTAAATTATATTCAGTTTATTAATTATTGTGTCCCATGTTCATAGTCACACTTGGCTTGATCTTGTACAAATATTATTTTCTATTTTATGGTGTGATGCGGTCTGTCTGTCTGGTATATAAACTGAGTATGCTCGAAATAAATAATTTGCATTACAGCAGCTGCTATTAGTGTTCTGGACTGAATTGGAAAGGCTAGGTAGACAATTGACCAACAATGATGCTAGATTGTTCATACTGGTCAAACATCATTGATTTGGCACTGTGTTAAGAATAGACACGTGACATTACGATTGGTGAATAAATCACATTATAAAAGGTTGGACATAAAATCATAATGAATTGCCATACAGTCTCTATTTTTTACAAAGTCACAACACTCTTAAAACGTTATTCAGTTCAGATTCATACTAGGACGTAATGGACGTCCATTACTCATAGATTTTCAATGATGATCTAGTTTAGATGGATTCATCAATTAACCTATGACAATTATGGAAGAGGTTTTGTGGAGAGGTTTCGTGGATCAGTTGAAGTTAGACATTAACACCGTTGGATGCTGGCTTAGTGGTCTACCGGTTAAGGGCTTCGGCTCGAGACTGGTAGGTCCCGAGTTAGAAACTCGCGAGAGCGGGTTCATGGATGCGCACTGCTGAGGAGTCCTATAATAGGACGAAACGGCCGTCCAGTATTTCCAGGTTTGCTATGGTGGTCTAGCTTCAATTAACTCACGCTTTCAACATTGATAAATTATGGAAGAATTTGAAGTACGACTATAATCTTTGATCGTTAATTAAAAAGTAAGTAAGGTTTATTGAAATCACTTACGAAAATGTAATGAATGTGCTACAATGAAAGAAACAATTGATATACATATATTATTTATATTTTGAAATGATCTAAGCAGGTTATTATGTAATCAGTGTGAATAGCATTTCAAAGTTATATAATGTACTATTATGGGGAAGGGTAATTTTGCATTGGTCTTCAGGAGAACCAGATACCATTCAGACTTTCACGCGACAATCCAAACAGTAAATCGCATCCCCGTTTAACAGAAGAGCCAAGAATCATATAGGTTACAACACCACAATCTGAATAGTACAGCTCAATCTTATGGCGCAACCACACAGGTACCAAAGATCATGACGGATCTCCATAGTTCAGTGAACAGAGCACTGGTCTAGTAAATAAATGTTATTTGAATAGCAACAATTCGTGTATTCTTTATACTATTATGCTCACTGGAGCATGTGACAAGGGGCTAGTTAAAATATTGATTGTTTAATTATCACTCCGATGTTTCATTCTCCTTCCCTATGTATGTATATATTCAAATCCTGTTATTAGACTTTGGTTTGTGTTGCTGTGTAATTATGCAATTTGATTGTCAATTCGTCTTTCTCTGTTTGCTCTCACTCATATACATATCCACCCCTTTGTGTCATATTCACTTGATGTATTTATACATTTGTGATCTGCATTATCCGATTATAAACTGTAGTTGCCACTTCTTATTCCCTCTCTGTTATCCAAACATACCGTTCAGATCACAATTGATTGATCACTGGGTGGTGATCAATCTGGTGATCAATCAATCGATCGATAGCATTCGATCAGCACTAAGAAGGACCTGATATGCATGAGATTGATCACCACCCAGTAATCAATCGATTGTGATTACATCTCAGTCCTATAGGAGGTTAGTCGCGGCACGAAGAGCTCAATGGTGACGTCTCTGAGTGTGAAACTGAGTGACGCGGGATCGAATCCGCCAGGGAGCATCAGTTCCCTCAGGATTACAGGTACACCTTGTTGACGAGTGCCAAGTAGCACGAAACCCGGGTCCAGGGTTTTCCTGTTAACCACCTCCAACCACCATCATACCGTTCAGATTTATATTATAATAATTATCGAAGTGATCGAATAACGAAGAAAAATCACTAACAAAGTTATTATGAATAAACTTACCAGAATGTGTTGGCCCAACCTCTATCAAAGAATCATTCAACAATATAAATTAACATTACAATACAAGGTACCAAGTTCTATGATCTTCTAATTCATTATAAACATGGTTACGTAATAGGTATATATATAAATACATAGGATTTCTTTAAAAGAGAATAACTGTTGAAATACCATAAGATCTAAATTTATGAAGGTTATCGATGACTTACAATAATTTTGGCCACCAACCTCTAAATTGTTTTTAAATTAAAGAAAGAATATTGTGGAATATTAGTGGATTCCTTGAATACTCCTACGATCTATCCATGATCTTTGAAGTAAAAAAAAAAACACAAAACAGGTAAGATTGTATATTTATGAACGAACTTCGAGTGACGTCAAATCGACCTAGAGAATGTCTATATACTTACTACGGCTAAAGCGATTTGAAGAATGGGGATTATGTTTTGCAATTGATGGTTACAATAAGGAGTTAGATTTACGGTTGTTCATCACAAACTGACATCAGCTGAAATGCCAAAACTCTAATTGGTCAAAATGAAGGAATTAATTTTTCGCGCTAAAATCCAAAACTCCTTATCTTATATTTGATTGGCACGTCTATATATTATAGTTTCGCCCAAAACATACAACATACCATAGTGACTAAAATTCACTAAGCGTTATTTACTCTTACCTATACAATGTAAATGCAAAGCATCATAATGAAACTATTAAGCTTAGGAAACACAAAATGATGGATTTGTTGCTCAATTTCATGGATTAATTGAAGTTAAACATTAACACTGTTGGATTCCGTCAGGCTAAGTGGTCTAGAGGGTTAAGTGTTCTTGTGCGAGACCGATTGGTCGTAGGTTCAAATCTTGTGGGGTGGGATCGTGGAACATGAACTGAATAGACAAATTGTTATATCATTGAAGAAAAAAACAAGCTTTGAAATATCATTGATAGGTGAAAGATAAGATCGAACCGTAAGAACATACTTGCTATTGGTACCGTTTGATCCTGCTAATCAAATGAAAATTTCATGAATTATTCATTAGAATATTAAGATGACAAATATTAATAACCCTTTTGTTTGATTGAACATACCTTCGGTACTCCCAGATGATCCACAATGACATGATTGACTTAAGAGTAATATCATCATCAGACATACATAAATCATAGTCGTAGGAATATACTGCAATACCTTAAGGACTATTCATTTGACAATATTTATATAGTCAATTGATTACTGCAACATTCACTTTACTTTCTTCTTTCTTTTCTTTTTCTCTTTATTGTTTACTTAAAAGAGTAATCAGGTACATTATTCCTTTGATCATGTAATGACATCAGAATGGATGATATCTGTGTGTTTGTTTTGTTTGTTCGCTTGTTTATTTGTTCTGTCTTGTCGGGTTATTCTTTTGATTTTAATGAATTGAACATACATCAACATTTGTTGTTATGGTGAAGGAATCAAAGCGAAAAAATACTCATTTGAATATGATAACTCACTTGTTTATAATGGTTCTAGATATTGTTTATGATACATTGTTAGTAGTTTGTTTACATTAAGATAAGATGTCATTGAAGTGTTCACAGAAAAAGATGAATGATGACTAGCAATGGAATACAGGATACATGCCAATGTCGTCCTATTTCAAACTCGTCAGCTAGATCTACCCACATTATAGAGTTCAGATTCACTCTGGAACTCATATACATTACCGTCACTTCAAACACCATCCACTTAACAAATGAGTTCTGATAGTCACCTGCTTGAGTGTCGGAGTAAACATCAAATCTTGGGTGCTGGTACATACAGCAGATGGGTACGAATTAGGATGAATTGGATTGAATCCTGGAATTCATTACTAGCTACTATCCATCTTTGTTTAAACAGTTTGTGATTTAAGGCAATATCGAGACAGTCCTTACAGGATGCATATATATCAACAAGATACCGATCAATCGTAGTCCAAAAACATAAATGGAAGGATACAAGCAAATATTATCAAATGAATTTTTCACACAAAGTTTTGTAATAGTTTGATATGGTATAAAGAATCATGTTTATTTAAAGAAAATTGAACTCTGAATTCACTTAGTATTGTTTGTTTGGCTCTTCCCATCGATGTGTTTAGGACTGCGACTGGTCAGTCTTTAATTGGCATATGTGCATACTGTGCGTATTGACTCGATATACCTTAATTCACAAGTATGGTAAGCAGAGATGGATAGTGGCTAGCAGTGGAATCCAGTTTGATGCGCGTTTTGTCCTATTTGGGACTAGTCAGCTGGATGTACCTCCATTTCAGACTTGTTGTTGTTCACTCTTGAACACGAGCCCAGTACCCTCGCTTCAAACGCCATCGCGTTATCCACTTGGTCACTGAGTCCTGATAGACACTTGCTTGTGCGATGGGGTGAAGTTTGAATTCAATACTAAGTGAATTCAAACTTCACACCATCGCACAAGCAAGTGGCTATCAGGACTCAGTGGCCGAGTGGATAACGCGATGGCGTTTGAAGCGAAGGTAATGGGTTCGAGTCGCAGAGTGAACATCAACTCTCAGATGCAGGTAAAATTGAACTCTGTTTTATCACAACTTATGAATATGTATATACATTTTTACTAAAATCGCCATGGTGAACTACTTACAAGTAATCAGTACTTGTTAGATCCTTCTGGAATGAACAAGAATATAGATGTTCTCGTTCAATTCGTTTAATTCTTATCAACCTTCTATTACCAGGCATTCTACTTCTCATATCTGTCAACATAAGTAGCATAAACTACACTTCTTTTAAGTAAATGTATTCGAAATTGTTCATAACTGCGACATTATACATAAAACTTGAAATCTCAATGAATCAACAACCTAAAGTACTTGTCTCCAACTTGTATTGACTTATTAATTGTCAAGTATGAAATTTGTCTGACTATCAACAACAACATAAACACAATGATTACTTCATCTAACTAGATCATAATACCTAAAAAGGTATAATGGGTTAAGTTTAGATTAACTCACATCAGTTATGTTATTACATTTAGATGTACATTTTACTATGTATATTGTACATAGATTATGTATATACATACATAGAGATACAAAATGAGTTTCGTTACCATAGTTTCCAGATGTTAAATTGTATTATGTAAGATAAAAGAGACTCTTAGATACTTAGATACTAATTTGATGACTCACTGATCAATAACGCATTTCTACAATGCGTAGGTATGTTTCTGTTACAAACAAAAACTGTGCAATTTACTCTTTGATTGAATTAGAATTGTTATAAGTAAAGTAATGCAGTTAAATCCGACATAAGGCCTATTCGCTATACTACAGGATTGTAAGGGGCAACCTTGTTAACCGATTTAGAAGATATAAGAAGATTGAATTAATCAACCACTTCGTTGTATTTTTGATTTACTCGGTTTCGAACTCAGGGCCACTTGATGTGTATGTTTATGTTATCGAATCTATGTAGTCTATGTATGTGGGTATATTCAAAGGGTATGCATATGGTGTTATATAATAGGAATGTCAGCGGCCTAATCTATCAGATGTAAAACATAATAAAATGATATGGTAGCAAATAGTGAGGAGAGGTAACCAACATCCTTCTATGCTGAAATGCTTATTCTTATGTGTATGTCAGAAAGTAATAGGATAGTAGCCATGGGCTGAATGATATGCAGGTAATGTGTAAGAGACAGCCTGTTGCATAAAATACGTTTCTAAGATACAAGTGTATATCTACCCTCTCAAGTAGATGAATAAACGTATGCTATGGGATAAAGGGGATAAAACCTGTATTATCTGTGTGCATGAAACACATGTTTGTTCAAAGGGTAGGTATATTTGTATCGCACCCCAAATGCCCTGGTACGGCCGAGAGTGGGGAGAGTCTACTCTCCCTCTCCAAATGCTCTCACATGGCCAGCGAATATATAGCCTCTGTCAAGGAAGTCCTACTCACTGCCTTCTCGTGGCGGGGGTGTTGTTTACGAAAGTGAGAGGACGAAAAGCGAATGTCCGGCGTTTTAACCAGGTTGGTGGACACGACGAGTCTACCTAGGGGAGTTGGAAAACCCTGATTCCAAACCAATGGTGCACATGGACTCCAGGATCCTGATGGAACAAATGGCGTATGAACTTATTGTTGGTCACCGGCTACCATGGGACTGCATCTCCTCACGATGCTCCACTGCCTTGTGGATCAGACCTTTTGGTCAAAGGCTCGGAGTGTGGTCCCCTAAGAAAACCACCTGCTTCGGTTTGGGCACCCGGGCAGTATCACAGCACACACACAAATAATGTGGCGCATATGTACCTGGTGCCCTTTTGTACCAATATATATGTGTTTAAATAAATAAATAATAATAAATTCTGCATCAATAACAAGGAATACTCAGATGAAAGTCCATGTATTAACTAGTATATATGTAAACTATACCTATACAGGTTAAGTAAAAACTTCGAAATTCCTTTACTTGCTCTTCTTATGATACCGAGATATACACAAAGCGGTCACTTCATGAACCTTAAAAACACAGACACCACTCCAGAAAGGCCTACACAGGCCTACCCAGAAAAAGCTTTGTAAACCAATTTGACTAGAACACTACCACAATATATTCCACATCATGGTAAGAAAATAGAGTTCAAATGATATGTCAGCGACAGTTGAGGAAATATACTTCAGGAATATGGAATTCCGATGACTCATGTGGATACGAAAATGTTTCATCATTATAATCAAGCGTTATACGGTTAAAAAACTGAAGGCAGTGATTCATCATGATGATTGAACATTGTGAATTCACATACTAAGATGTAGCAAAATAGTTACTGACCAAGAACATGAGAGCTGTGGTTGATATTATAATGGCTAGGTACTCATAACTAACATTCCACACCAATCTTCAACGGAGGAGATATTTAAACTCTCACATATAAAAATATATACACTTTTAACATATAAGTGGCTATCTTAACTGAGTAGCTTAATAGACAATAGGTTAGTTTTTGAAGTAATTCATACTGAGTTCATGTTCTCGCATAAATAATCAACACAGGTGAAATCCTATCATTCTGATATCTCTTGATACGTACTTACACCTGTTACCCCTCGTGAAGGAGCATACGCCGCACACCAGTGTTCTTTATCTCAACCTGTCCTGGACAATCCTTTCCAGTTCCTTCCAGTTAACATTCATATTTTTCATATCTGCTTCTATTTCCCGGTGTAATGTTCTCTTTGGCTTTCCTCTTTTCTGATTCCCTTCTGGATTCCAAGTTGAGGATTGTCTCGTGATGCAGTTTGGTGATTCCCTCAATATGTATTATATTCATTTCCAACGTCTTTTCCTAATTTCCTCTTCAGTTTCAACCTGGTTTGTCCTCTTCCACAAAAGTCTGTTGCTAATAGTATCCGATCAATGGATGTTAAGTATTTTGCGTAGACAACTGTTTATAAATACTTGCACCTTCTTGACGATGGATGTAGTAGTTCTTCACGCTTCTGCTCCGTACATTTGGACTGTCTTGACGTTCGTATTAAAGATTCTCACTTTGAAACTAGTTGACAGTTGTTTAGAATCCCATATGTTCTTCAATTGTCCAAATGCGGTCTTTGCTTTACCGATCCTCGCCGTTGCATCTGCTTCAGATCCGCCTTGTTCATCAATGATGCTTCTCAGGTACGTGAATGTTTCCACCTCTTCAAGAGTTTCGCCATCAAGTGTGCTTGGGTTGGTGTTCTCCTTGTTGCATTTGAGTATCTTGCTTTTTCTTTTGTGTATGTTAAGGCTTACTGATTCAGAGGCTACCGCTACATTTGTTTCTTATTTGTTCGTGTGTAAGAGATAAGAGGATCATGTCATCTGTGTAGTTCAAATCGTTCAATTGGTTCTGAGATGTCCATTGTATTCCGCGCTTCCCGTCAGGTGTCGAGATTTTCATAATCCAATTAATCATCAGAAGAAAGAGGAATATCTTGGTAGCCAGAACCTAAATTCATCAGCAAATCAACCCCAACGGCCTCTCAGTATCAATCCACATCTTCGAATGAATTTCAACAACAGAAAATCTAAACACCTACACTGGTAATATGCCTTATCCATAAATCATCTACATTATAATACAAATTCAATAAATAGAAATCAATCATGGGTGTAACTCAAAGTGCATGTAGAATATATCCATCTTATATTGTAGGTACCTTTTCTATTCAATGTAATGTCTTGTTTATAATGTCTATAAAGTACTTCACAACTTCTATGGTCTATATTACTGAACACACCTTGAAATTAATAACTCAGTATATTTACATTGAGATGTATTATATCTATAAAAATAGAAGTATATGATAATGACAGTGAATGTTTTATGTTATTCTAATAATTGAGATCATAAGTCAATTGAAGCTAGACCACCATAAAATACTTGAAAGTAGTGGATGGCCGTTTCATTCTATTGTGGGACTTCTCAGCATTGCCCATCTACCATACCACCACACAAGTTTGGAACTCAGGACCTGTCATTCTCGCACGAGAGCGTTTAACCTCTAGACCACCGAGCCGGCCGACATTCAACGATGTTAATGTCTAACTTCAAGCGTTCCGCGAAATTGACCGATACTTCCAACATTGTCTTTAGTGACTTACTATATCATAACAGACCTAGATGAACTCCACTAGTCACTGCTTCTTACTAGAACTGCAGAAAATTCATGCTGAAGCGAGTGACTTGTGTCTACATGATCATTGTCAGTATTGTGATTAATGGAAATTTTAGTATTTTCTAAGTTGAATTCACGAGTCGATCTATGCAAGAGATCAAGCGTTAGCACACATGACTGAAGGTCCTGAATTCGATTCTAGTGTACGGAATGAGAGATGTGCACTTCTGAGGAGTCTCATACTAGCACATAGCGACCGTCCAATGTTTTCAGGTTTCCAATGATGCTTTTAGCTTAGATCAACTCATGAATTCAACTGTCAACTACTCAAAATCACCAAAAATCCTCATTCTGATACTTAACTAATCATTGTTTCTTTACATATTCGTTTATGGCAACCACAAACACACACACACACACACACACACACACACACACACACACACACACACACACACAAATAAATGATGTTTTGTATGTCGGTATAAGTTTGTAATTGTTTTTTTTTTTGTTTTTTTTCCAGTTTTTATTTTGTAAACAAAATGTTTATCCATTTGTATTTACATCATAATCATGATAATAAACAAAAGAAAAGTATAGGCTAAACATAATGTACATCACTTATTATAGTACATTTGTATACATTTATACAATCTCATTTTTATAGTTGAAATCATTAGTCAATTGAAGCTAGACCATGGGAAACTTGAAAGTACTGGACGACTGTTTCGTCCTATTATGGTAGGTCAACGGGTATGAATCTCGCGAGTGCGGAATCGTGGATGTGAACTGCCATTGAAGAATTCCATTATAGGACGAAACGGACATCCATTAATTCCAGGTTTTCCATGGTGGTCTAGCTTCAATTGAATGATGATTTCAACTATGAAAATATTGAAATCTTCACAAAACCCCTTCTGATCTGCAATCTAATTTGATATTTTTGAAATGAAGAATGATATACATAAGAGTTAATAAGCAATGAATGATAGTGGATAGTAGTGGAATACAGGATGAGCGACATTTCGTCCTATTTGAGACTCGTCCACTTCAAACACCAACAGCTTATCCACTTACCTATTGAGTTCTCATACTCGCCTTCTTGAGTGTTGAAGTAAACATCAACTATGGGATGTAATTGCACCTAGTTGGCGAGTTTCAAATATGATGAAATGGTATGCATACTGGATTCTACTACTAGCTACTATCTATCTTTGTTTAAAAAAAAGTTTTTGATCTCAAGCAGCATCGAAGCAGTCCTTACAAGTGACTGTTAAATTACATCTCTAAATAACAGTGGGAAGATACAAGCAAAAAACACCAAAAGAATTAATACATAATGGCGTTTGAAGCGAGGGTACTGGGTTCGAGTCCCAGAGTGAACATCAACTCTGAGATGCAGGTACATCCAGCTGACGAGTCCCAAATAGGACGAAACGCGCATCAAACTGCATTCCACTGCTAGTCACTATCCATCTTTGCTTAATTAATACATAAAAGTTGTAAATTTCACACAATGAATAAAATTCTTAACTAATCTATATAACTGTGTAGTATCAGTTTGTTTGTTAAGCCCATATACTTTATTTTAGTTGCTGGCCAAGCCAATTCGCCTATCCATTATGAGTCATATTTTGATCTTGTTCATTATTCGCTTATTAACCTTGGCTATACTTTTATATGAGCATATATGTGTACACTTCGTGTATCTTATTCATCATATGTCTGTCACTCATTTTTGTCCGACTATAAATGTTTATTAACGCTTGCTTAAATCGAGTTGGCTTCCCAGCCATCTCCTTTGCATGTCATTTCCGCCTCGTTCACTTCCTTTGCTTATTCGCCTGTTCACTCGCTCGTTATTATTCGCTCAGGTGTTGCTAACTTTCTGACCTGAGTTATTCGACAATAAACTGTAGTCGCTGCTATCCTTTGTCTTCTGATTTTACTTGCCGTTAAGATTAGAATTATATCGGTTATCGAAACGAACGATTAACGAATCGCGGCACTACAACTGTACTTTGAAGGTGACCATCTTGGATACTATGATTACATGTTTCTTTTAACAAGTTATCTATTTTGTGTTTATTCTAACATATCATTATTTCTATTATTCGCATAATCTATTTAATCGCGTTTGGGAAACGTTCACATTTCGTTGTACAAGTTACAAAAAAAAAAAAAAACTCGATCAGAGACATCGTTGTCGCTGGCATCATAGAGCATAAATAATGTACATTATCTTGATGTTGATTCCTGAACAGTGAACATCCAACTGTCGATCAATCAATATTTATCGTCATGATCAATCAAGAAATAAGAAAAAGTAAACGTTTTGAAATACATTACAGTGAGTATTCTATGTTTACCGAAGGAATAATAATTTAGAAATTGATCAGTTTCTTGTTAGCCATATGTGCATACTGTATGTCTTGCCTCGATATAGCCTTCATCTTTGCTTGTAATGCTTGTGAATTAAGGTTAAATTAAGGCAATACGCACATCAATGAAAAGATTCAACTAACCAATAATAAGTGAATTTAAACTTCATTCTATTACACAAGCAAGTGATTATCAGGATACGGTAGCTGAGTGAATAACTCGATGACGTTTTAATCAAATGGTACTAAGTTCAAATTCCATAGTGAACATCAACTCTAAGATGTGGTTACATCTAGCTGACGAGTTCGAAATAGGACGACATTGGCACGTATCCTGTATTCCATTGCTAGTCATCATTCATCTTTTTCTGTGAACACTTCAATGACATCTTATCTTAATGTAAACAAACTACTAACAATGTATCATAAACAATATCTAGAACCATTATAAACAAGTGAGTTATCATATTCGAATGAGTCTTTTTTTCGCTTTGATTCCTTCACCATAACAACAAATGTTGATGTATGTTCAATTCATTAAAATCAAAAGAATAACCCGACAAGACAGAACAAATAAACAAGCGAACAAACAAAACAAACACACAGATATCATCCATTCTGATGTCATTACATGATCAAAGGAATAATGTACCTGATTACTCTTTTAAGTAAACAATAAAGAGAAAAAGAAAAGAAAGAGGAAAGAAAGTAAAGTGAATGTCACAGTAATCAATTGACTATATAAATATTGTCAAATGAATAGTCCTTAAGATATTGCAGTATATTCCTACGACTATGATTTATGTATGTCTGATGATGATATTACTCTTAAGTCAATCATGTCATTGTGGATCCTCTGGGACAACGCCAGGTATGTTCAATGAAATAAAAAGTGTTCTAAATCTTTTGTTATCTTAATATTTTTTTCTATAATTCATTAGAGTTTCATTTTTTTTTTAGAAAATGGAAATAACACCACCAATGGCCCGTAAGTTCTTACTTACTTACTTACTTACGCCTGTTACTCTCAATGAAGAATAGGCCGGCTTTCTCCAACTCACTCTGTCTTAGATCTTCCTTTCTAGTTCTATCCAGTTATTGTTCATTCTTCTCATGTCTGTCTTTATTTCTCAGTGTAACGTGTTCTTTGGTCTTCCTCTTCTCCTTTGACTTTCAGGGTTCCTCTTTAATGATATAACAGTTTGTCTATTTGGTTCAGGTTCTTTTACATATTTATTCAATTTTCACAATATTACTGATGATCAACAAGCTTTTAATAAAGTAAATAGGGTATCATTTTAATAGGTAAGATCATGAATCAATTGATGCTAGATCATTATGGAAAATCTGGAAGCATTGAACAGCCATTTCATCCTATTGTACGATTGTTCAGCAATGCGTATCCACAATCCTACCTCACAACATTTGAAGTCAATAATTACCAATCTGACTAGCGAACGCTTAAGCTCTAGAGCACTGAACTAGCCGACATCCAACGGTGTTAATGTCTAACTTCAAGCGATCCACGAAATTGACCAATACAATCACCATTGTTATCAGTTAGTTACTTTCTCACAATAGACCCGATTGAACTCAATAGAAATTTCTTTGAAAAAGATCAGATTAGATGAACAGAAGGAACATTGAGATTACTTTAAATTCATTCGTTAAGAATACATACGTTATGAATACATTTATCCTCTTTATTGTCATATATATCAACTTGGCAACCAAATTTTATGAAACTATACAATCCAATAAAAATGAGAGTTTCTTTATAAGAAATTAATTCATTAGATACATAAACAAATCAATTATTAAATTCACTTAGTATTGTTTGTTTGAATCTTCCCATCGATGTGTTAGGACTGCAACTGGTCAGTCTCTAATTGGTATATGTGCATACTGTGCGTATTGTCTCGATATAGCCTTAATTCACCAGCATGATAAGCAAAGATGGATAATGGCTAGCAGTGGAATCCAGTTTGACGCGCGTTTCGTCCTATTTGGGACTAGTCAGCTGGATGTACCTCCATTTCAGACTTGTTGTTGTTCACTCTTGAACACGAGCCCAGTACCCTCGCTTCAAACGCCATCGCGTTATCCACTTGGCCAATGAGCCCTGATAGTCACTTGCTTGTGCGATGGGGTGAATTTTAAATTCACTTAGTATTGTTTGTTTGAATCTTCTCATCGATTTCGAAAGGGAGGGGTACTGGGTTCGAGTCCCAGAGTGAACATCAACTCTGAGATTCAGGTTCATCCAGCTGACGAGTCCCAAATAGGACGAAACGCGCGTCAAACTGGATTCCACTGCTAGCCACTATCCATCTTTGCAAATCAATTATTATCTTCTTTGAAACAATCGAGGGCATACGTACGACATCTCAATGCATTGATATATAAGACCTGTGCTTTCTAAGCTAGATAGTTTTATCATGATGCTTTGTATTTACATTGTAAAGCTTAGAGAAAATAACCTTCCGTGAATATTAGTCACTATGGTAATTATATTTATGGAAGAATCAATCATATATAAGATAATAAGTTTTAGATTTTGGCGCGGAATTCATTAAACCATTTGGATCAAATAAAGTCTTGGCATCTTAGATGATGCTAGTTAGTAGATGGACATTCTCAAAGTCAATTTGGCGTCATTCGAAAGTCGTCCATACATTATGATCTTAATGATTTCCTTTTTTTTTCTATTTTATTGCAAACATGAATAATCGATAGCGGAAGAGTTCGAGGAAATCACTGATATTCCACAATATTCTTTCTTTAATTTCAAAACAATTTAGAAGTTTTTGGTCGAGAGCCTTGTAAGTCATTGATAACCTTCATTAATTTAGATCCTATGGCATTTCAACAGTTATTCTCTTTAAAAGAAGTCTTATGTATTTATAGATCAGAGGGGGTTTTGTGGAGAATTTATTATTTTCACAGTTGAAATCATTAGTCAATTGAATCTAGACCACCATCGAAAACATGGAAGCACTGGACGGCCGTTTCGTACTATTATGGGACTCCTCAGCGGTGCGCATCTAGGATCTCGCACTCGTGAGACTCGAACGCAAGACCTACCAGTCTCGAGCCGAAGCCCTTAACCGATAGACCACTGAGCCGGCATCCAACGGTGTTAATGTCTAACTTCAACCATGTATATACCTATTACGTAACGATGTTCATAATGAATTAAATGATCATAGAAGATGATACGTTGAATTGTTTATTGATAGAGGTAGTAGTGGCATATTCTGGTAAGTTTATTCATAATAACTTTGTTAATGGTTCTTCTTCCTTAATCGATCACTTTGATAATTATTATAATATAAAACTGAGTGGTATGATTGATAACGGAGAGGAATAAAGAAGTGGCAACTACAGTCTATTAGCGATTATTGCAGATCACATATGAATGATCAGATCAAGTGAGTTTGACACCGAGAGGTGAATATGTATATGTGTGTGGGCAAATGGAGCCGCAAATTTATAGTCAAATCACATAAGTGCATAGCAAGGCAAAGTGATGGCTAATAGTACGATTCAAGTACACATATACATAGTCAGGTGGATGAATCATCGATTGGTATTTAAGGTATCACCATTTTAGCTAGTCTCTTTTCATTTCCTCTTGTGAGTATAACAGAACAATGAATACTCCAATTATTGCTATTCAAATAATATTGGTTTATTAGACTAGTGCTCTATCCACTGAACTATGAAGGTTCACCAGTGTACTAGGTACCTATGTGGTTGCTCTATAGAATTGAGCTGTACTATTCAGATTGTAGAGATGAAACCTATATAGTGTCTGGTTCTACTGTGAGGCGGGATTGAGGTTTACTGTTTAGGTTGTCATGTGAGAGTTTGAATGATTTCTAGTTCTACTGAAAACTAATGCAAAATTACTCTGCCTGACAACGGTATATTATATAAATGTGAAATGTTATTCATACTGATTACATAATAACCTGCTTACATTATCTCAAAATATAAATAATATATGTATACTTATTGCTTCTTTCATTGTAGCACATTAGTTGAAATTGCGTAAGTGATTTAAATGAATATTGACAATTCTCTAATGGTTACTCAACTTCGTGGATCAGTTGAAGTTAGACATTAACACCGTTGGATGCTGGCTCAGTGGTCTATCGGCTAAGGTCTTCGGCTCGAGACTGGGAGGTCCTGGGTTAGAAACTCGCGAGAGCGGGTTCGTGGATGTGCGCTGCTAAGGAGTCGGAAAATAGAAAGAAACGGCCGTCCAGTGTTTCCAGGTTTTCCATGGTGGTCTAGCTTCAATTGACTCACGCTTTCAACTACGAAAAATTCTCTGATAGACGATTAGAGATTATAGTTGTACTTCAAATTCTTCCATAATTTTCATAATTGAATTCACGAATCAATCTAAACTAGACAACTCTTGAAAATGTACGAGTAACGGACGTCCATCACGTCTTAGTATAAATCTGAACTGAATAATGTTTTCATAACAAGACTGATGCTTCTTAAATGAATAATACAGTCGTTTATAGTTGCAAGCGTGAGTCAATGGAACATAGACCACAATGGTAAACCTGGAAGCACTGGACGGCCGTTTCTTCCTATTTTCGGACTCCTCATCAGTGTTCATCGACGACCTTCCCTCGCGAGAATCAAACCCACGACCTACGCAGTCTCGTACCAGAGCACTTAATCGATAGACCACTGAGTCTAACACCACAAAGTTGAGTAACCATTCACCAATTATCATCAGTGACTTCCTGTCTCACAACATACCCAGTTTGAACTCCACTGGTTACTGCTTATCACTAGAACTCCTGGATTTATCTTAGTCTGATGTCTCTGAAATGAACAGTACAATCATTTATGCATCTTCATACTACTAATTATACAAATGGATGATTATACAGGTATACAAACTGGAGTTGTATAGTAATCTTCTGTTTTGAAAACAACAGATTTATTAAATGAAAAGAATAGTTTGATTGTCTATTCAAAGTAACTAGAATCATTTAAATGAATTTCGTAAGCAAAGATGGATAGTGAGTAACAATGGAATTCAGAATGAGCATTCCATCCTGTTTGGAACTCATAAGCTGGATGTACCTGTATCCTAATATTCATGTTCATTTTAAGATTAGAACCTATATAGATAACATGAAGTTTGAAGCGAACGATGTTAGGTTAGAGTCTTGGAGTGAATATCAACTATGGAATACAAGTACATTCATCTGACGAGTCCCAAACAATACGAAACTTGCCTCCTTGATTCCACTTCTTACCACGATGGTTTTGACTTACAGCTATAGATGTAGTGAATAAGAACACAAGAGGGATAATCCAATGTATTTGATCACGAATTACAAACTATGTCATCAAAATCTGACAACCATACAGTGAACATAAATTCACTTAGTATTGTTTGTTTGAATCTTCCCATCGATGTATTAGGACTGCAACTGGTCAGTCTCTAACTGGTATATGTGCATACTGTGTGAATTGCCTCGATATTGCCTTGATTCACAAGCATTGTAAGCAAAGACGGATAGTGGCTAGCAGTGGAATCCAGTTTGACGCGCGTTTAGTCCTATTTGGGAATCGTCAGCTAGATGTACTTACATTTCAGTTGTTGATGTTCACTCTGGGACTCGAACCCAGTACCGTTTGCTTCAAACGCCATCACGTTATCCACTCGGCTACTGAGTCCTGAACATCAACTCTGAGATGCAGGTACATCCAGCTGACTAGTCCTAAACAGGATGAAACGCACATCAAACTGGATTCCACTGCTAGCCAGTTGCAATCATAACACATCGATTCTATGCTTGACCATCACCATATACTACTTATATGGATATAAGTAGCTGGCATCACATATAGGGGCAATCTGCACATGATATACATATACCGATGAGGGAGTGATGAATTTCGGCCTTAAATTTATATTTTTTCAATGTTTAAATCTCAGATTTTTCACTCTTAGCAACTAAAAAGTTAATTTTGGTCATTCGATTTACCTTAAAATATGAATTACTAATCAACTCATCATATTTTTTATATTTTAGGAACGTATTTAACAACTTTTTCTATGGAAAAGGATGAATCTAGAAGATTTCGAACTCTAAGAGTTTTGTATCTAATTACCAATAAAGCTTGATGTTTGTTTCTTTGTTTCTATGTTTTCAAGTGAATTCTTCTTAACAACGATGAAGGCACAGAATTATTGGTTAATTATTTGGGACTTAACTGATAGGTTAAGTTAAGATGGTGATTGCAGTTGGTCAACAGTAAATCCTAGACCCGGGTTTCGTGTTACTTGACACTAGTCAGCATGGTGTACCTGTAATCTTGAGGGTATTGGTGTTGTCTGACGGATTCAGTCCCATGTCACTCAGCTTCATAGTGAGAGACTTTACCATTGAGCTATCCCAGCCGCGACTGATCTTCACTAAGAAAGACATGACGCACATGACACTGATCACCAACGAGAGATCAATGAATTGTAATAGGTTAAGCTGTTTTCACTGTACCGACTTCACTAATCAAGTAGTGTACATGACTCTTGTACAAACATTACTACTGAATGTGAAATGGATGAAGGGTTTCACAAGATCATGAATTCATTGAAATTAGACAATAACATCATTGGATACAGATTAAGCATTCGCACGCGAGATCGAAGATCTCTAGTTCGAGTACCTTTGGTGTTGGATGCTTACTGTTGATCAGTCCCATAATAAGAATAAACGATCATCCAGTACTTCAATGTTTTCAATGATGATCTAGCTTAGATCAACTCATGAATTCAACAATGAAAATCTCTATTTTATTTGTACACTTAAATAATATGATAATTAACCTACATTGGTGGCATCAGAGTATAGAGACGAACTTTGGTTTGTATTCAGATAGCCAATGCACACAAACATTGTTTGACCCTTTTTAATGTAATCTTAGCTGTATGTTGAAGTAAATTGTTATATGTTGAAGAAACGTACTACTTATACACGATAATAGTTTCTTATTACATCAAATCTAACAGATACTGTAAAGCTGTGGATTTAAGAATGATAATCGTTTACAGATTGCAAAGTGTTAATATTCTGATAGTTGAGATCATGAATCTATTGAAACTTAGATCACAATGGAAAACCTGGAACCACTGGACAGCCTTTTCGTCCTATTATGGGAATCCTCATCAGTGCGTATCCACGATCCCACCTCGCGAGATTTGAACTCAGGACCTATCAGTCTCGAGGGCGAGCGCTCAACCTTTAGACTAATGAGGCAACCGGGATCAGACTGTGTTAATGTCTAAGTTCAATCAATCCACGATAATGTACGACACATCCAACAATGTCTTCAGTGAGATATTATCTCACAACAGACGTGGTTTGAACTCCACTGGTCACTGGTTTTCACAAAAACTCCAGGAAATATTCCTCTCAAGATTCTAGGATACGTTTATAGTTTGAAAAGAGTTTCATACTAGTGAACTGATTCCTGAAACTCCTAATTGTCAGTTATTATAGAGTTTATTTCTGCAATGATGTATGTGCTAGGATATCTGTCCACTCTTCCTAGATAAGGTATGTAGATGCTGGAATTTTCGATGAATCGATGTGCTTTTGTACTGTAATTCAGCGTTTAATCGGTGTATGGATCAACAAATTGTCTCTTTTAACATTATTGATACTGATCAAGAGAATAATGATGAATGATACTGGTGGCATATATTCCTTGAGAAAATATGAATTTGATGTTCTAAAAAAAACGACAACTGTACGACAGTTTCGTCTATGAAGATAATCGCAATGGTTTACTTCTTCATCCACCTCATCTAATGATGAGATTTATACAATGTTTAGTTAAGTATGCTGGTGTACACATAGTCAATATTCGATTGGTGTTCAGTAGTAAATAGATATAACTTGGTTACAACTTTATATCAACGTATGCTCGCTAGTGACTGGTATCACGAGGTATTTCCTGGAGTTCTAGTGAGAAACAGTGACTTGTGGATTTCAACAAGGTCTGTTGTGAGATAGTAACTGACTGAAGACAATTGGTGAATGGTTGCTCAATTTCTTGAGTTAGTTGAAGTTAGACATTAACGGCGTTGGATACTGGCCAGCTCAGTGTTCTAGTGGTTAAGCGCTCGCATGCGAAACTGATCGGTCGAGGGTTGGAATCTCTTGAGGCCAGACCGTGGATGCACACTGTTGAGGAGTCGCACGCCGTGATTTAGAAACATCTAATATCTCCCAAAAATTGCACTATAAGTTATCTTATACTTTCAGTCTAAAATGTTCGGCATAGTTTCGGTAACATAGAGAATAGATGATATGAATTTAAATTATATATGGGGTAGTAGTCCACACTGCAGGATGTGAAAACCTTCACATATCTGGGCAGCATCATCGATGAACACGGTGGTTCTGATGCAGATGTGAAGGTAAAGCAAGAGCAGAATATTTACAACTGAAGAACATTTGGAACTCAAAACAATTGTCAACCAACACCAAGATCAGAATTTTCAATACAAATGTCAAGACAGTTTTACTGTATGGGGCGGAAACTTGGAGATTTACGAAAGCGATCATCCAGAAGATACAAGTATTTATTAACAGTTGTCTACGCAAAATATTTCGGATCCGTTGACCAGGCACTATTAACAACAACTTACTGTTGGAGAAAAAAACAGATTTCAGTTGAGGAAGAAATCGGAAAGATGCGTTAGAAGTGGATAGGACACACATTGAGGAAAGTGCTCAACTGTGTCATAAGGAAAGCCTTCACTTGGAATCCTGAAGGCCAACGGAGAAGAGAAAGACCAAATCATTCATTACTCTGAGAAATGGATACAGACATGAGGAGAATGAGCAACAATTTGATAGAACTAGAAGGTAATATCCAAGATAGAGTGGGTTGAGGAATGCTGGTCGTTAGCCTATGTTCTATGTGTGTAACAGGCGTAAGTAAGTAAGCAAGTTGTCCCCAGCAAGAACACCATGTCTTTAATAAATATCTATGTCAATTACTATCAAATGAACGATATTTTACCATAACTTCCTAGACGATCTGATATAAAAGAGATATTACATGAGCATAATAAACAAAACTATGTTATCACAACGAAGGCAAGATATTAGAGACTAACAGTTTACATAACGAACTGATCTAAACTACGCAAAGCTTGAAACTCAAACAGCCGAGATCGGTATACTCAACAATATCGAGTGAAGAGGAGATCATACTTATTAGACATACATGTACATTATGATGCGTTATTTAAAATTCTAAACTTAAACAGTCCAATACCTGCTTAGCGAATTACGGATTACTCAAAGCCTGAATATCCTTCATTTGATCCTTATCATGATCATTGATCCTTACTGTTGAATAGTCCGATACTAGAACACAAAATCTTCTCAGTATGTCTTGAATTCAAACGCTAGATCATTTCATGATATCAACTATCAAAAAGTCTTATATACTTCAATAGTTTTTTTTTCTTTCTTGAATGGTTTCTTCAACATTACATCATTCAATGAGAAGTAATACATGAATAGATCTTGGTAACAATCAAATATAGAACTTTCATATATTGCATTGTCTTTTTATAATATGCATCTATATACTTCAAAATATGTATGAAAATATACTTTTGATAGTTTGCCTAAAATGTAAAAGAAATTAACATTCTAAAAGAGTTGAATAGTTTATCAATATAAGATTTATAGAACTAAAATCTAAATCGATCTTTACTTATGGGGCTTTTAATCTAAGGTTCGAGTCCCAGAGTAAACATCAACAAGTCTAAGATGTAGACACATTCAGTTGATCAGTGCCAAATAGGACAAAACATGCATCAAACTGAAATCCACTGCTGGCCACTATCCATATTTGTTTATAGTGCTTGTAAATTAAGGCTATATCGAAATAGTAAGCACAGTATACACATAAGCCAATTAAAGACTGAACAATTGCAGTCATAAAAACATCAATAGGAAGTTTCAACGAAACAATACCAAGTGAATTTAATCTTTATACAATTGCACAAACTAGTGACTGTCAGAACACAATAGTTAAGTAGATAAGTTTGAAGTGAAAAGTATTGGGTTCTTGGTCCTGGAATGTATATCAACTATGGGTAGCTGACAAGTCTTAAATAGTTTACCCTACAAAGTGTCCGAAGTTGACCAACTATTAAAAAACTTGTATTTCCTAGTTTAGAACTATTGTTTCGGAAGGTCAATCTTTAATATAAACCATAAAACATACCAGAATGAGTTTAGTGTGCTAAAAGGGAAAGAAATGCTAAATGACATCAACCAAATTATGAAATGAATACGCTAAAAAAGGATTTAAAGTATTCATTTGTCAGAAGGGGAGTTTGTGGATTTTATAGTAATTTAAATAGTTGAGATCATGAGTCAATCGATGCTAGACCACCACGGATAACCTGAAACCATTGGACGGCCGTTTCGTCCCAATGTGGGACTCCTCAGTGGCATCTACGTTCCGGCCTAGAGAACCTACTAGTCTCGCGCCAGAGCACTTAACCGATAGATCACTGAGCCGGCCAGCATCCAACGGTCTTAATCTCTAACTTCAACCAATCTACGAAATGGGGATCGTGGATATGCACTGCTGAACAGCCCCATATTGAACAAAATGGCCATTCAGTGCTTCCAGGTTTTTGATGGTGGTCTAGTTTCAACTGACTCATAAATATCAACTATATTCTTTCGTCATTGTGTCCATTTTCAAATGTATCACATTAGATAAATGGTGTTATGTCCTTTTAACCTGTTAACTCTCACCTGATACAATCACCAGTTAGAATGCCAACCTAATGATCATATCAATGACGTATAAAACCAGTAAGAGCAGTGTAGAGTCAACTCTGAGTTCTTAATTTACTATCGAGGTAGAAGCTACTTTCCTAAGTCAGTTGATATACTCCAGAACATAATCTAAGCTTCCACTAATATGAATCATATATTTTCGATATACTTGGATTATATACCAGCCAAACAGACCATAATACACTGTACAATAGAAAATAACAATGATGTAAGATCAAGCTAAAAAGTGGCTGTAATTATGAGAGATTGTTACTAATTGTTATGTCCCGATAATAATAGTGAATAGTTACTATGGGATCCACTTATGAACCAATACTATGTATTTATTTTTAATCGTATGATCGCTATATAACTAAACTATTCATATTCACGTTCCCTTTGATATAAGCTTTAGTTTGAACTATAATCTATTGTTAAACGATTTACCATTTTTGAGTTATCCCCAGTCTATTAATAACTGTTCCCCCCCCCGGCATTCAAAGCCACATTTGACTGAATCTTGTACAAATGTTATTTTCTATTTTATTGGTACGACGTGGTCTGTTTGATTGGTATATAAATTCAGTATGTTTGAAATATAATGATTCATACCGCAGAGACTGTTATTGGTGTTCTGGACTTAACTGGCTTGGGCTAGGCAGAAAGCAGGATCGATGAATACTCTAAACTGCTCGTACAGTTTCTGTGTATCACTATTCCCAGCTCTTCAATTGGCAGTCTTATCACGTCATACGTTAACAAGGCACCCACTCGGTCCACAAGCTATAACACTAATAAAGTGGGAATAACTTCAGAATAGTATTTTCATTTATTTATTTAAACACAGAAATATTGCTTCGAGGGGGCATCATATATATATATACGCTACACAAAAATGTCATTTCATTCAATTTTATAAGAGTTGTGATACTTCCCGGGTGCCCAAATCGAAGGAGGTGGTTTTCTTAGGGGGTCACACCCTAAAGATCTGATCTACAAGGCAGCGGAGCATCGTAAGGAAATGTAGTCCCATGGTAGCCGGTGACCAACGATTGATACATACGTCATTTGTTCCTTAAGGATACTGGAGCCCATGTGCACCATTGGTTTGGAATCAGAGTTTTTCAACCCCCCTAGGTGGACTTTTCGTGTCCACCAACCTGGTTAAAGCACCGGACATTCGCTTTTCGTACTTTCAATTTCGTAAACAACACACTTGAGACGAGAAGGCAATGAGTAGGACTTATGTGGCAGAGGCTGTATACTATCTATGTATATGACATGTTGATGTTTTGACTCCGTCAAGTAACCCATCAATAAGCTAAATAATTTAAAAAACATAATGAATTTGAATTGAGATCATGAATAGATTGATGTTTGGATCATCGTCATCATGGAAGCACTGACAGATCATTTCAATGATGATGATCAAAGATCAATCAATTCATGATCTTAATAAAAAAGTTAATCATCTTCATAGTGATAATACGTTCCCTCTTTTTGATTCAACTTACCACAGGAAGTCTAAAAATAAACTTAAATAAAAGATATTAAGATTGAAATCATTCATATGTACATATCTTGGTTATTATTAATACAATATAGACTAGATGATTTGATTATTTAACATTCCTACTAAATTAGAATGTATATAATGAATTACGATTCATGTACCTTGGGTAACATCATCCATAAACATAGAGGTTTCAATATAGAGGTAAGGGCGAAGATTGATTAATCCATACCATGGAGAACAGCTGACAGATGCATTCCAAGAAAGGAGTGTAGTTAGACAATGCTACTTACTCCCCCTCTTCATCTTTCTTCTGGTGGTTGACTGGATTATGGTGACCTCCACACTTAAGGGAAAGTACGGAAGACAATGTACAGATCAGAATAAATTAAAAGATTTGAACTTCGTAGATGACCTAGCCCTCCTATCTCATACACATGAACAAATACAGACGAAGACAAAAAAATGTAGCAGCAATCTATGCATCAATAGGCCTCAACATACATAAAGGAAAAAGCAAAATTCTCAAATACAACAAGAAGAACACCAACCCAATCACACTTGATGGCGAAACTCTGGAAGAGGTGGAAACATTCACGTACCTGTGAAGTATAATTGATAAACAAGGGAGATCCGATGAAGATGTGAAGGCGAAGATTGAAAAAGGAAGGTAAGCATTCCTATAGTCCAACGACATATAGAACTCAAAACAACTATCAAATAATATCATGGTGATAATCTTCAATACGAACGTCAAGACAATCCTACTGTACGGAGTTGAAACCTCGAGAACTACTACTAATATCTTTTGGAAGGTACAATTGTTTATAAATAGTTGTTTATGCAAGAAACTCAACATCCACTGACCGGATACCATCAGCTACGGTCTACTGTGACAGAGAACAAACTAGCTTTCAACTGAGGAGGAAATTAGGAAGAGTCGTTGGATGTGGATAGAACATAGATTACGGAAATCATCAATATGAATCACAAAGTAAGCACCAACTTGGAGTGCTGAAGTTGAAGGGAAAAAAAAGGAATGTCAAGTAACACAATGCGTCCAGAATTGAAAGCAGACATGAAAGAGGCGAATAGTGACTAGAAACAACTAGACAGAAGTGTCCAGGACAAAGTTGAATAGAGAGTGTTAGTTGTTAGCCTATGCTCCTTCATGAGCGATAACGAGAGTAAGTAAGAATGTAATTCTGCTTTATAATGAATAAAAAGTATTATCACACATTCATACAGTCAAGACATTTAATAATCATACATAAGTTATAATCACTTGACAACTTGACATCTCTCATGAATCCCAATTCATCAGAAGTTGATACATTGTGTATATAAATCTTCAATAATAAATGTATGATTAGTAGACTGAAAATGAATATAAAAGTCATATGTAAATATTATATAGTTGAAATCATGAATCAATTCAAGCTAGACAACCATGGGAATCCAAGACCCCACCTCACAAGATTCGAACACAGGGCCTATGAGTCTCACGAGCGATCAGTTAACCGACAGACCACTGGATCGGCATCCAACCGTAGTAATGTCTAACTTCAACTAATTCACGAAATTGAGGTGGAATCGTGGATACGCACTGTTGAGCAGTCACACAATAAGATGAAACGACCGTCCAATGCTTTCAGGTTTTCCATGATGGTCTAGCTTCAAGTGACTAATCATTTCAACTATATATAAAAAAGTACTAAAATTCTCCACAAAACCTTCTTCTCATATGTAAATAATTAATCATTTTACTAATAACTTACTGAAATCCGTTTTTAAATTGACTACATCATAATGTTAATATCAGTAAATGGATTATAAGAAGATTAATGAACACAATACAATTATATATATTAAACTGATTGTATTAAAAAAGAAAGTTGCTATGCTATTGGCTACTTATATACATATAAGTAGTATATAATAATGGTTGAACACTGAATGCATTTCAGTAGATCGATATTGAGGGAACGGAACCGGGACGGGATGGGTATGAAAATGCACGAACAAGAATAATCGGAGACGATGCACTGATATTTGAAGAAGAAATGGTCAAGATTGAGACAATGGAATGACAGTTTGCAAATTAACTATTTACTGTATGGTTGTCAGATTTTAGTGAGATAGTCTGTAATTTTCGTGTCAAGTACATTCGATTGTCCGCACTCGTGTTCTTGTTCACTACACTACAATCTAAAAGGATGAAATAATACCATGAGGCGTCAGCTCAGTGGTCTAGGGGTTAGTCATTCGCGAAAGAGACCGAAAGTTCTAGGCTGGAGTCCCGGATGTCAGACGACATGGCCATCCAGTACTTCTAGGTCTTCAATTGTGGTCCATTCATCATATTAATCGAAAAATCCATTCACTCTATTCTATGAATATCATTGTTTTTACCCTCTTTAGAATATACTGACAAACCATTGTTATCTGTGAAATAGATTTTTCAAGGAATTCATAGAATTCGCCGTACCAACAAACAGAACTCATCAGTTCAAAAAAATATTGATCAAATTCAAAAATAGGCCACTAAGAATTAGCAAAATGGTAAGTTTTCATAATTTTCTTTAGATCTAATCAAAATACCATGAAAACTTACTCCCATGCACTAGGCGTTCTAAAACGTTTAACGTATTCGTTAACAATAAAGAAATCGATTTTGGGTGAGACTTTAATTTATGGTCAAACTTTGGGTGACGCTGGAATGACCTTGAGAGTATTCAGGACCTAATGAGGATTATAAACCGGTGTGAGCAGTTCAAATAATGATTTACAATTGATGGTTAAGGTTTGGAATTATGCTTAAAGTTTTCAACACGAACTGACATCAGTTATAATGTCGAAACTCTTTTTATCCAACGAGGTGAATAAATTTCACGCCAAAATTCAAGACCAAATTACAAATACCTGATTGGTTAGTCCATAAATCATAGTCTCGCCTGATTTTGTTATACTGGAATTAGGATGATTGATCGTCCTGTAAATAACTAACTTGATAATTTTTATCATATATTTTTATTACTCACTCAAGATCCATATAAGTATCAATAAAGTTTGAAACGGCCACCCAGTGCTTCCAGGTTTTCCATGATGGTCTTTCTCTAATTGACTCATGATTTCAACTTTAAATCACCACAAGACCTCCTTCTGATAATGATCATATGATCACTAGCGGCTGATTTCATAAGGTATTTCCTGGAGTTCTAGTGAAAAGCATAAACAAGGGAATTTTATCGGGTTTGTTGTGATATAGCAACTCCTTGAAGACGATGGTGGACGGTTACTCGATTTCCTGGATTGGTTGAAGTTAGACACTGACATCATCGGATGCCGGCCGATTCATTTGTGCAGAGGTTAGGCGCTCCGGCACGAGACTGATAGGTTTTGAGTTCGAATGTCACTAGGCGCATATGACCAATGACAGACTGATCATTTACACTCTTAAGCATCAATGGAAATATTCAACCAAGCAATACTAAATAAATTGAATAGTTCAATGACATTAAAGTTTACTAAATGGGGGTTAATAGAACATGATGAATAAGTGTAACTTACGAAGTACTTCCATTAGGTGTTGTTGCTTTCATTAAAATTGGCGGATTATACACATCAGCGAGATTTATTCAGTAATTAGATCTATATAAATTACATCTTAATCAATTGAATATTATAAGTTAATCAATCCTATAACTGTCTTATAAACAAATACCCTTCTAAGTATTACTCTATATTTAAAATGAAGCATTAGTTACTGATTGAACATACTCGATTGACTTGATCCTGTGGATTGAAATGATTGAAGTAATAGAAGTGAAATGATCACTGTCGTAATGATCATATTGAATGAATGAAAGACTTATGGACTAGTTCTGTACTGTTTTTTTTTTCTCTAAAAGTTTACTTATAAATATGGTTTAATGTGTTCCTTGATCGATTCATATGATCAATCTGTTATTTAATACTTAGTTTGTAGATTGTTATTGGTGTTTCTTGTTTTAGAAAGTGGAAAGAGGCGTATACCAGTCTATTGTCTTTTGTTGTCAAGAGAAACCACACCCTTTTAAATATACTAACTGTAGTAATAATCTGATTACTTACTAACTTCTTTACTTACGAATGTTACCCATAATGGAGTATGAGCAGCTGATCAGTAGTCTCCAATCCACTCTGTCCTCGACCTCCCTATCTACATCTATCCAATTTTTGTTCATCACTCTCATGTCTGTCTAACGTTCTCAGCGTAATGTACTCTTTGACCTTCCTCTCCTCCTTTGACCTTCGTGTTATCATACGAGGTATTGTCTTCTAAAACCGTTGGATGTCTTCCTCAATGTCTTTCCTATACATTTCGAGCACTTCTTCCTGATTTCTTCCTCAGCTAGAGTCTGGTTTGTTCTGTCCAGCTGTAGGTTGTTACTGATGGTGTCTGTTCAACGGATTCGAAGTATTTTTCCTATACAATTGTTAATAATTACCTGTATCTGTTGGATGATGGATTTTGTAGTTCTCCAAGATTTCACCATATACATTAGAACTGTGTTGACATTTGTACTGAAAATTCTAACTTTGGTGTTGGTTGACAGACAGTTGTTTTGAGTTTCAAATTTTGTTTAGTTGTAAATATTCTGCTCTTGGTTTGCCAATCCGTGTCTCCTTATCTGCATGAGATCCATCGTTTTCATCGATGATGTTGCCCAGATATTTGAAGGTTTTCACATCCTCCAAAGCTTCTCCATCAAGTGTAATTCGATTGGTGCATGCTGTTTTGTATCGAAGAATCTTGCTTTTCTTTTTTGTGTATGTTGAGACCTACTGCTGTTGTGGCTGCTGCTACACGAGTCATCTTCTCCTACGTTTGTTGTTGCGTGTATGATCGTCTACGAATTCTAAATCGTCCAGCTGCATCCTATCTGTCCATGTGTTTCATGCTTTCTTTCAGACGTTGACGTCATAATGATCCAGTCGATCACCAGGAGAAACTTTGCTTGACACCAGTCTTTACCTCGAATGAGTATATAAATAATCTGTTCTTTAAAAAATTGCATTCATTACAAAAAAATATATTACTTATTTTGATTCTTAGCCTTTATACGGATATTGTTTCGAAAGTTTGGTGAGTGAATGAAGCATATTATAAGATTATTATTATTAGCTTTATTCAATATTATATTTTTGGTACAATATGGAATTCTCAGCACAAAGTACTTCAACAAGTTTCCGTTTCTTACTTCTTCGTCCTTCCTGACGATGAATATTGAGTGATCGCCAGTTGGAAGTTAGCAGCCCAGTCATCAATCGACATCTGAATAATGTACATTCTTCTCGCTGCATATTACCAGCAACCACGATATCTCGGATTAGGCCTTTTGTAACCTTTACAGCTAAAGGTCTTACACTTTTCAGAAACTCACCTGAATAGGTTGTGCGATTAATAGGCATAATGATGTATTAAAACAAACGAAATTACATAATTTGTTGAAATATCTAGATGGCAGGAACAGGAAGCCCAGAGGTTTAAACAGGCTGCCGATCTTCACACACAAGAAAAACGTAAACTAAACAGAAGTAAACTAATCAAAAGACAAACAACATGTATATATTTTGTTCTTAATACATGAATACATATTTCTACATAATTTCTGTTTGGAATATTTTATAAACGTTGGTGGACACAAAAGTCTACCAAGGTAGTTGGAAAACACTGATTTCAAACCAATAGTACACGTCGGCTCCAGCATCTTCAAGGAACAAATGGTGCATGAATCAATCGTTCGTCACCGGCTAACATATGACTGCCTCTCCTGTCACTGATCCATTACCTTGTGGATCAGATCTTTAGGTCAAATGCTCTGGGTGTGGTTCCCTATGAAAACCACCTGGTTTGGTCTACGCACAGTACTCCAAGAAGTACCTTTCTCTTCTGCATCCAGGATTGTGGCAGCTCACTATTGAGGAAGAAACTGTCGTCCAGTGCTTTCTGAAGTGCTATTACATTGACCGGTGCACAAGTAAAATGAAATTCAACAATTTGAACAACGACATACAGAAAATTTTCATATGCTCACCAGTGACAAGCTTGAAGATATAATCCTGATCAAATCGTGACAACTGGAATTCAACCGTATCGTCTTGAGGCAGTTACCCCCAGAAGACAACAGAAAATGGTCGCAAAATATCGTAGATTTATGAGGAGCAACAATCAATAATATCTATAGACATTCATCATTATATTAATTAATTCATATTAGAATGTATTACGTCACGAAACATATATAATGTGCAAGAAACTAAAGTTCTGGTTCAATTTATAAATTCCTAAATAATACTCCTTGATTATTAGGTATCACCATGGGGTTGTGTCGATTATTAGGTTTTCGTGCTGGGTTGGAATCCCATAAGCGGGATCAAGGATGCGCACTGTTGAGGACTCCCACAACAGAACGAAACGGCCGTCCAGTACTTCCAGGTTTTAAATATTGGTCTAACATCAATCGGTTCATGATCTCAATCAAAAAGTGATTGTTATGAAAATCAATATATAAGGCACCCGAACTGTTGAAACATTCAAATCGCAAATGAGAACACAGAAGACAAGTGTAAAGAAATCTTATTCCAATCAGCAATTAATAGGGTACAAACACACTTAGGTATTTATAGTTTTTTTCATCATCAGGATCATCTGATCCGCATGCAGTGGTTTTTACCATTTGTCCAAACCGGAAGCTATACGTTGAGATTCTGTAATGCTTTTGCCAATGACAATTGAGTTTACCGGACGCCTTTCACATAGAAATGTGTTATTTATCAATATAATTAAGGTATATTTAAAACTCACATCAATGATGCTAGATGTCTGGCATTTAGAAAGAAGGGTGACAACCCTGATTTTATGATCATTTCCTTCGTGTGACATTGATATTCGTGTATGGCTAAAATTCTTAGATCAGATGAAAACCTGTTGATCAACAGTATAATCAGTGTAAAAATGAAAAAAGCATTCAACTTATAGTTTTAGTGGTAATGAAACTTGGTTGTGTATAATGAAACATAATAGCAGGTTTTCTATGAAAAGAAACTATATGAATCAAAGCTGTGTATGACATTCTCTAGTAGGGACCTGTAGTTTGTTTCCGTTAAAGACAAACTTCCCAGTCTTCTCTCCTATATGTGCATTGACATGTTCATGGATGATTTGGTTGTGAAGCATTCATCGTCTTTCTGAACGACATCGTCATCAATTTCTATCGTAAGTTTGTGCTGACGATGTTGTTCAGAAGAACGACGATGAAAGCTTCACGACCAAACCATCCAGCTCAGAGAACAATACTCTTTATCAAGTATGGTAGTTTCAGTATGAAAAACATTTACACTACTTAATAGTATTTAGTAGTTTAGATTTTCTTCGATCATTTTATTGACTTGTATATTGTAATGTACTGTTATTATCCGAAGACAATGTATTCACTTTTGTAGAGTTCTATTTTTCTCTCTGTTCAGTTTTTCTGTACGTAAAAACTATTCGTTCCCCATTCATCAATGTTTTTCTCTGACGTACTAATAATTGAAATTTGACTTTTATGAACTGACTGTCTAATAGCTAGATACAGCTTGATTTTAAACGTTGATGCCATTGGATGTTGGCCTAATGGTCTGTGAATGAAGCATTAGCCCGGGAGACCAAAGATCCTGAGTTTGAGTTCAACATATGGAATATTGGGTTAGTATTACTGGAGAGTTCCATACTAGGACAAAATAGTCACTCAGTGATTAAAGTTTTCAAATGATGATCAACCTTAATTCGACTCATGAATTCAACTAATAATAATAAATTGTGATTTGTCATTTATCCTTCGTAATACTTCTACTTAACAAACAACTAAACTGTTTGGAGATGCATGGTTTATCCTATGATTTCATTTCTAGATATTTATCTATAAAATTCTTGTATAACTACTCTGTTGACTCTGTAACTGACTCATGAATAACTGATACTATGAATCTTTTCATGTTCAGTGTTGATGATGACTTCTAAGATAGAATCTCACTTTTAAGTATATCTCATTATCTGGTCTTTAAATTTCGAATGTCAGAATACTGAAACGTTAGGAATATTTAGAAAACAAAATGTGATTTGTCTGTGACGTTCTTCGATTCGACTTTTGATTTAACCTTTGAGTAATCAAATATGTTACAAGTATCGTTTTAATTAAGATTATGAATCAAGTATTGATAACCAGTCATTGAAAACCTGGAATCACTGGACTGAGATTGATCTAAATCATCACTTAGTATTGTTTGTTTGAATTTTCCCATTGATGTTTAGGACTGAAACTGGTCAATCTCTTATTAGGCATAAATGCATAGTGTGCGTATTGACTCGATATTGCCTCTACGCCTTATAAAGACTTCTTGATCTAGTTAACACGTCCGCGAACTCGAACCCAGTACCGTAGCCATCAGGACTCAGTAGCTAAGTGGATAACGTGAAGCAGACGGTATTGAGTTCGAGTCCCAGAGTGAAAATCAACCCTGTGATGTTGACGACGTCCAAAATAGGACGAAACACGTTTCAAATAGGATTCCACTGTTAGTCACTATCCATCTTTCCTTATAAAACTTGTGACTGCAAGCAATATCAAGGCAGTCCTCATAGTATACACATATACTAACAAGAGACTGATCAGTCCTAAATAACAACACCAAGTGAATATAATTCTGTATTAGAAAAGTTACGTAATACAAGTAATAACAATAAATCAATTGAAGAAATGCATGGATCATATGATGATGAAGGAACTCAATAATTTACTTACATTACACTGTCAAGCTTGTGTTAGT